GTTTTGGAGCATATATGTAGTCTCGGACCACAGGTTTTATCAAGTCACCCTTCTTGAATCTTATTAGTGTAGAGAGGGGAAAGAAATTCAAAATTTATTTAATGGTTACAAGTTCCATTTGCACTTGGGAAGTACATATGAGCTTAGAAGAGCTCACATAACTATTTATTATTTGGGAAGTGTTTCAGACAATTTTTTATCAGTGTGATATTTTTCAAAAGTTTCCTGTGTAGGGAGGAACATAGGGAAACATATCTACAGTATAAGTTTGATCTTATTTTCACTTGTAGGAGAATTATCTTAAAAACCTTTTCTATACTACAGATTCCATCAAACTTGAACGTGTGGGAGATTGATTTAAATGTGTTTATTCTCATATATTTCAAATTGCAAGCTATAGTTATTTACATTACAAAATGATCAAGGAACATTCACCATCCATAACTCATATATTCTTGATGGATTAAAGTTTAGAAAAAGTTAGATATTCTTTTCCCTTTCAGATCTCCTTTTATATGGATACTAACATACTTTGGCACTTAATTTGCCTCTTTCACACTGCTGTTCTATATGTTCCTTGGCAATTGAGATAACGGTGTTGAGCTTTTCTGATCATCTTGTAGCATATTAATAGCAATTTTAGGTTATATATATATATATTTCTTCTGCCCATCTTTTCTTGATTGTCTTATAGCTGGAAACTCTCTCTTGTGCCACTTCACAGGATTTTCTATGTCTAGGCCTACATTTGGAGGATTTGGTTCATATCCTAATCAACCTATTGTATTTGGGAGTGCATCCCAACTATATTGGATTTGGTTCAATCAAATTTTGGAAGCACTGTATTTGGTATATGTACTCTCTTTGGTGCATCAAGTCAACCTGCAATTGCTGCTGCTGGCCCGGCCCTTACTGGAACAAGTAATGCAGCCTTTGGTGTTACAAGCACCCGGGCTACCATTCCAAACTTTAGCCAACCATCTCCTTTTGTGACTCAGACTTCCCCTTTTGGTAAGTAGTTTCCACATTTATTTTTTCTACTTGCATAAATATGCGATGTTAAATATCTTTTGACAGGCATGAGGGCATTGTATCAAGTCATCCGAATTGGTGTCTATTTTGCAGGAGTCCAAACAACCCTGCAAGCATCTGAAAGAACTGGCATTAGTCAGTCAGCTTTTGGTGGTCAATTTGGAGGAAGTAGGGTAGCAAAGTATACTCCAACTGCTGAGGTAGATGATTGGAGTGACAGACGATCTGCTGGAAAACTGCAGTCGATTTCCGCCATGTCAGTTCACAAAGACAAAAGCCATGAAGGGTTCATATCCTCAATCAACTCCAATCCATTTTCCCCCAAAGCAACAACTCTTAGCTCTTTTATGTCATGGCCCTCCATCTTCAATTCTACTTCTTCCTCAACCACTTCCAATCCATTTCTCCCCCAAGCAACAACTGGCTCTTTTATATCGTCGCCCTCCATCTTCAGTTCTACTTCTTCCTCAATCACTTCCGATCCATTTTTCCCCAATGCAACAACTCCTAGCTCTTTTGTGTCATCGCCCACCATCTTCAATTCTACTTCTTCCTCAACCACTTCCAATCCATTTCTCCCCCAAGCAACAACTTCTGGCTCTTTTATATCGTCGCCCTCCATCTTCAGTTCTACTTCTTCCTCAACCACTTCCAATTCATTTCTCCCCATTGCAACAACTTCTAGCTCTTTTGTGTCATCGCCTTCCATTTTCAATTCTACGTCTTCCTCAACCACTTCCAATCCATTTCTCCCCAAAGCAACAACTTCTAACTTTTTTGTGTCATCGCCCTCCGCCTTCAGTTCTACTTCTTCCTCGACCACTTCCAATCCATTTCTCCCCCCAAGTAACAACTTCTGGCTCTTTTATGTTGTCGCCCTCCATCTACAGTTCTACTTTAGCTCCAGGAACAGCTTCAAGACCTAGCTCTGGCTTAAGTCCCTTTAGCAGTCAGTCATCCCAAGTATTTCATGCTGCTTCCTCACTTGAGCAGACAAATTCTTCATGTGGGCAGGGCTCTTCTTCATTTGGACCTGGCAATGCCCCTTCCTTAAGTCAACCTAACATGGTCAGTGCACTATCAACTGGATCAGGATTATGGGGTACAACATCCCCACTTTGCGTAACCAATCCTGTAAGTTCTCCTTTTCCCTTTTTGATTAGTACAAAGATTCTGGTCAATCAACTGTAAGTAACCCCATGACATTCAAGGTTTAAAAATTATCTTCTACATTGGCATCTTCACTATGTTTGTTGAATGTGGTTGACCTCCTTTTATGGGATATTTGTTTTTTTAATAATAACATGTCAATTCTTATCAAAAGGAAAAAAGTAATACCTATCTTCTTTCAAAACTTACTTCTTCTTTTTTTCTTTATGATTTTTTCATTTAACATTCCTTCCAGTTTGATTTTGGATTGTTACATCGTAGTCATGTCTAGGAACTGGATATTTTTTTGATTATATTTTCTATGTGCAGCCTTCCTCCACTCTGCAGCCATCGCAAACTACTCAGATGGTAGATCCTTTTCAACGGTATGTTTTATTACTGATTTGCACTTTGTATTGTGGACCATGTTTTATTTATTTTATTAACCTAAAAAAGGCCTTGGGCTAGGTTGCTATAGTTCTAAAGAGGTGCATTTTACCCCAGGAGGACCTGTTTTGCATGCATGATTCGTTGTTTGATTCATATAGGCACCATAATGTCTTTATTCATTTAATACCTTAGTTCTACAGGTTTTGCTGTGTAAACATATTCTCAACTGGGTAACCTGTCGATGAAAATTGAATTATTCTGTATTGTTTTACGTAATAATTGAATGATCAAGTTGGATGTCTATATTGAACATCATTATAACTGAAGAAAAAACTGAAATCTAAGGTGATATATTGAAGTTCTAAAATATCATTGTAAAATTTGGTGAATAAAGTAAATAGAATTAATGTTCCATAAAAAAATAAGGATTGGCTCACATTTAATTCTGTGTAAAGTTAATGAAATCGATCCATTGCTCTAGAGATACAAACTACCCATTTAGGGCCTTTCAGTTGATTAATATCCAGATATTGAACCAAGAAAAGCAAAGGTTTCTTGCTTTTGTCATTCCAGCTAATTGGTATTCTCAGTCATAATTTGAAACATAAAGAACAACTTGGAACTCCTCTCTTGGCTGAATTCTCTTCTTTCATTTCATTTATTCATGGTTTATTCATTTGGTTTCAGGTGTCATTACATGTTTTTCAGGTCTCCCGCTCAAGGCCCTGTAATTGGGCAGCTACCTATTACTAGTCCTTTTGGAAATTGACATGCAGTGCTTCTGATGTCAACTATCCCTGGATCCACACCCTCAATTCAATATGGAATTTCTAGCATGCCTGTAAGTCTTACATGTCTGAAGTTGTCTGTTTCTGGATGCAATGCGATGCTTCTGTAAGAATGTGCTGTTGATTTGTTACGTATGAGTTGAGGACACAAGCATGAGTGCGACATTTACAGAGGACAATTGGCTGTTGCTATGGCTGATTTTGAGAATTGACATATACACGCGTCTTTTATGGAATTCATAGGCTCATGCGCGCGCGCACATATTGACAAGGATATGAGGTATTGTGTATGTTATGGAACAAAATGGCTGTGTGAAGAATATCATATCCGCTTAAATGTTATAACACTTAGTGTTTTATAATGAACTTCAATTACATGTTACGGATAAAACATGAAAATTGGGTCTGCTTCTGAAAATTTTACAAGTGAAGAAAGGTAAACATATTTGTATGCATCCAAACAAAGACTATACGTGTCTCTTGTCTAGCAGCTTGTGCTAAACATTTAGAAGTGTCATACTGGTTTTCTAGTAATTATTTATTAGCAGTGTGTCAAAAAGAAGTACTTGGTGTTTAGTGTATCCATGAGCATGACATTTATTTGCAATCAGGTGAAGGACAGTCTGCTCCCACTAGGATTTCATCTCTTCGACAGATTAAGGTGGTTCAGAAATATCATCCTAAAAGTGATGGACCGAAGGTGAGAATAATTTGGTTTCTATGTGGTTTCCCTGAAGAGTGTAAGACTAGTTGAGGTTTGAGTGGTGGTTGCTGTGTCTTATTGAATGTGTGCCTATGCTTATGTTTTGTTGCCTTACTCATTTTCTGTATTATGTAATAGAAGAAGCAAAGAGAACAGGGTGATGGTTATTGATAGTCTGTCAAATCTAAGCAATGTTCTCATAATTCAATTTATTACGTTCCATTCATTAGTGGTCATGCTTATAGTCTTATTCTTTATGGCAATTTTGCAGAAAAATCAGGTGAAAATAGCACGGAAAAGGAGAGTGTTGGTTCTGTCAAACCTAACGTTTCACATGACTGGGTACATGATATTGATTCCATCTCACATACTAGAGTCACTGGGCACAGGGCTGGTGAGGCTGCAATGACTCACGAACATGGGGTCGATGTCAAGGCACTGATGCCAAATCTCCAAAGTCATGAATACTATATAGAACTTCAAATCCAGGAGTTGGCACTGAAGGAAAGGGCCGAGCCAGGGTTCTGCTCTCGTGTGAATGACTTTGTGGTTGAACGGCATGGCTATGGCAGCGTCAAGTTTCTTGGGGAGACAGATGTGCGGCAGCTTGATCTCAATTCCCTTTTCCTGTTAAATAACCGTGAGGTGATAGTCTATATGGATGAGAGCAAGAAACCCCCTGTTGGACAAGGTCTTAACAAGCCTGCAGTGGTAACTCTTCTGAACATCATATGCACTGACAAAAAAACTGGGAAACAGTAATAAATAGAGAGAGATGCTGATCAAAGACCAAGATGCTGAGTTCGTTTCTTACAATCCAGCAGAAGGGGAGTGGAAATTTAAGGTCCAGCACTTGAAGGGTAGTGGAAATTTAAGGCCCAAGAATTACCATATTTCACACAATTTATTTTCAATGCTATAATTCATACATTTCATAATGCATTCTTTAAATTTTCCTCTTTATTCTCATTGTCTGTAGAAGTCTACAGCAATTTCATCACCAACAAGATAGAAGTAATGTTCTATTCTATTTTCAATGAAACAGAAATGCACAAACTGAAGAATCCACTCCAAAGACCAAAGTACATCAGCCTAGAAAATAAAATCCATCACCTCGCATGTGTCAATGGGGAGTGTGTAGTCCGGTGACCCAAAGCACAGTCACAATGGAGATGCTGAAGGGAACAAATGCAATCCACTCCAACAACAAACAGAAATGCACAAACTGAAGAATCCACTCCAAAGACCAAAGTATATACCATCCCCTCCAAAGACCAAAGTACATCAGCCTAGAAAATAAAATCCATCACCTTGTCAATGGGGAGTGTGTAGTCCAGTGACCCAAAGCACAGTCTGAAGCACAATGGAGATGCTGAAGGGAACAAATGCAATCCATGAAAGCGCATCAAGCATATCAGCACGACGATCCGGTAAGCCATGATACCAGCATACGTGTTCAGTTGTCTGCAGATGGCACGAAACTCCGCTTGTTGCACCAATAGAGCAGATTACATCACAAAGGCAAGAAGCAAAGACAGTAAGCAAACTGTGGTCAATAAATCAGTGCTCAACATCTCCAAAGCAATGAATTGGAGAATAGATTCACAATCTATTACTCCACCATCTTCATCATGTCTCAGATAGTTAACAATGCGGGCAATGGGAACATGATGGAACATCTGGCATCCCAAGCAAAACATAAAACTATGATGTAAAAACTGACTAAGTGGAATATATAGAAAAACTCATTTGATTGAACTACTCTGAATTAAGAGTTACATTCAGTCAAACAACGCTTCATTTAATTGAAGAACTCTGAATTACAGTCTAACAAGGCTTCATTTGATTGAAGAACTCTGAATTACGAGTTAGAGTGATCCAATCGTAAAACAATAAATATATAAACACACACTTACATAGTGAGATCGAACAGAAAACTTTTCAATACGATCCACGAGCTGGACTTCACAAACAACTACATGCAGAAAACTTTTCAATACGATCCACGAGCTGGACTTCACGAACAACTACATGAAAAACATCGTAAATCAGGATGAAATTAATACATGAGAAACATTGTAAATCAGGGTGAAATTAATTTCAAATGTTCCTCAATTAATAAGTTCGAATTTGTTAGACATAACTAAAATCAATAGTTTCATTTGATTGAAGTACTCTGAATTAAGAGTTACAGTATAATTACAACACATATAAAACCTAAAATTCTAAAATCAACAAGATATTCACTCTAACAAGGCTTCATTTGATTGAAGAACTTTGAATTACAGTCTAACAAGGCTTCGTTTGATTGAAGAACTCTGAATTACGAGTTAAGAGTGATCTAATCGGAAAACGATATATATATATATACACACACTTACATAGTGAGATTAGACAGAAAACTTTTCAAGAACGAACCCTACTACATGAGAAACATCGTAAATCAGGATGAAATTAATGCATGAGAAACATCGTAAATCAGGATGAAATTAATTTCAAATGTTCCTCATGTGTATGTGTATGTGTAGAGAGAGAGTTGCTTAAAGTGTGAGAAAAAGTAAGACTATATATATACACACACAATAGCAAAAATGCAAACGGAGAAAATGATCGAGAAACTAGTAGGAAGCTCTACAGGCAAAAGCTTTTAGTTTAGCTCCCGGCACTCACCGGTACCGGGTTTTAGAGGAAGCAGTTAATGGAATGGATCTCGAAAGGACCGGACCAGTTACCATGGCAAGTCTTTGTGAAATAACTCCGATGAAAAGAAAAAAGAAGGCGTTAAGAGACCCTCCTGGCCCAACCCTAACACTCTAAGATCCTTTTTCAAACCTGCTCCCGTTTCGAGTCGGAAAACAGGATTGAAGTATAATTTTAGTAAATTTCAACCACGAACATCTACCATTTCAACCACGAACCCGAGACCTTCGGCATGAAAGACAGGAACTCCTACCAGGCCGCCACAAATACTCCTTGTGTCTTCAAAGTACAACATTGATATATATATATATATATATTCTAAATAGATTATCACAAACAATTTTAAATGCAATAAAATACTAATATTTAATAAATTAATATAATAAAATAAGTGTTATAAATTTTATATTATATATTTATATTAACATGAAAAAAATCATAAACTCATTCAAGACAAAAAAGACTATAGTCATGTTTTCATAACTTAACTTTATGTTGTTAAGCTCGAACCCAAGATCTTCATAGACAAGAACTCCTACCAGGCCACCACTAATCCACTTTCTGTTTTCAAAGTACAACATTGATATATATATATAATAAATAAATTATTGGGTAATTGCTAATTTAAGTTCCAGCCTCTTAATATGAAGTGAATTTCGGATTAATTTACATTATGTGTATTAATATGAAGTTCTGCTAGCTGTTGACAATTCCTAAAACTTCGTACATCTTTTTTTTTTTCCCATCAAATAAATGGAACTTTTGATTATTACAGTTAATTTTAAGATTTTGTAGAATGGAAACTCGAATCATTTTGACTCTATTATGTTCACTGGTATTTATCTCAGAAGTATTTGTCAATGCTTAGTCGATTTTATATATTGTACTATATCAGTATAAGTGCGTGTGTTTAATGAACCTAAATCATGAATTTTATGTCCTTAAGGGCAATATGAAGGCATATCTTTAATCCAATAAAGGGTTATTGTTTGTCTTTGATATAAACAAAAAAGACCACTAAATTTCATCCTGTTCAAGATCTCTCTCATCTTGAGGAATTGAATAACTGGATGCTTGGGTTAAAGCTAGATGGTATGTATTGCCTTTATAGCATTAGTGGCCTTCACTTGGTAAATTTGTTAAAGCATGTGCTGCTTTATATGAGAAGTTGATTTGATTTCTAAAGAAAGCCACTTCATGTAACGATGCAAGGTTCTGGCTTTGAATAAGAAATTGAGGTGCTGGTCTCAAATGGAATTGAATTAAAAAGTGTATGATTCATTCCTTATTTGCATCCTCTGCTTTGATTTGACATATCAATAACTATCAATGGAAGTCTCTCAACAATCAACAAGGCGGTGAAAGGCATTCACGCCGGATCAAGATGTAACAATTTGCAATGTACTTTTTTTTTTGTTATGCTTATGTATTTATTTTGGATTACCGTTATGGATTTTATTGAATTGTAGTATTGAAATGCCAAGCATGAATTTTATGAAAATAGTAGTTGAAAATGGTAGTTGGGAATGGTAATTGAAAAAGAATGGTTGTTGTGTCAAAAAATAGCACTTTGGATGAAATGCACCATTGGAGCAAAATTACTAAAATACAGCATTTTGACACTTAGCTCCTCTCAAAATATAGATTTTGCATGCGAAAATAACTTTTAGCATTGGAGATACTCTTACGCAGAGCATTTTACAGAGCTGCAACCAACGGTATCAGCATGTGCACGACGGTAGCACGTGGAGGAGAAGGAAGGGGTTTGGGCTTGTAGGCATTGGGCCTATAAAATTAAAAGAAAATAGAAATAGAAATAGAAAGGCCCAAACAAAATTCCAATTTTTTCTTTAATTTATTCAAACATGTTTAATATTAATATTTGGTTTGCAATTTTATTTTATTTTATTTTTTAAAACATTTTAGAACAAATTAAAATTGGCTATAAATGTTTAATTAAAATAGATTTATCAACATCATCAGTCGCCATCTCATAACGCATCCTCATCTAGAATCGTCATCTAGAATCACGTAATCCTCTTGCATAGATATACATTTGATTAAGATAAACTGAAAAGAATAATTGGACATTTTAAAACCAACATCACTACTACAACGGTAAAGGAATTTATATAATTCAATTAGCTAGGCAAAAAAAACGTACCTTTTTTTTTTTCCCCTACTCCACCTATTCCCATCAACTCTCTTCTTTCAGAAAAGAGGCCTATATTATTAGGACAAAAGAGGAAAAGTTATATATGTATGTAGAAACAAAAACAAAAACAAAAACAAAAAATTAGTATGTAAAACATGAATAAATAAATGTAACGAATAGCTAAAAATGCCAATTAAAACTTTACAAAATGCAAGAGTTTATTACCTGATGACTGAGGAGGCATGTTTCTTGAACCTTGTTCTTACTAAATGTTAAGGCCCAATGCTAACCCTAAAAACAAGAAAACACTCTAAGTTGTGAAGAAGAGGTTTCACAATCTCACTCATAACAATTAAACCACCACCATCTAAGTACTATCTGTATCATGTATCAACCCAACCCAACTATGCTTTCAGTCAAAATGTTGGACACCTATCCGTAGAAAGAGGTGTGATTAGCACATATTATTCTCAGCTCTTATGTTAAATTAATCTAATAACAAAGTACAATGCATCAGTTTAGGAATAATCTTCAAAATTAACAAATCAATATCATGATATTCTGCTTTCTAATAACAAAAGAAAATCAAAAACCAAAATTTAAAAATAAAAATATGGCAGAAAGATTGAATATATCCTTTGTGCATTACATAGATTGTATTTCTATGTGAAACAAAACATGCAGGATTTCTCAATGGAGTGAACTAAATCAAAATATATCAACCAAAATGTTAACTAACAATGTTTCTTTAGACAATTGACTGATTAAGGCATAGAAAATCCTATTTGGGTAATTAATAAAAAAAAAAATACCAATTTATTTCTGAACAATTCACCACTCAGTACCCTATCGCTTCTTTTGACCAATTTACCAATCCTATTTGAGAATCTACTGGTGAAAGCAGAGTGTGAGGTAGGCAAGCCCCTTCCAACACTATGGAATTCACTCAAAAGCATGCTTTTTGTAAGTATTTTAATTTTCAAGAAGTAACTTTAGAGCTTTACCCTGTATTAAGTACTTTTGCTTGTCAAAGTTCTTATGATTTTTTTTTTGTTCTGAAAAGATTTCTATCTTCAAAAAGCTTGGCATGTTGATAAAAATTGTTTCAGATTCAATCTCTGCAGATTTCTAATCCAATTTAGATTATTTTTTTTTCTTTTTTCTTTCATGCCCAGATTCAAATTTTCTTGTAGACATAATTGACAAAAACAAAAATAGAAGTTATAGAAATTAAAAAATATATATTTGTTGTGCTAAAATAAAATGTAGATTACGTAAAAAAATAATAATTATATAAAAGAAAATCATAAAAAAATTCACCAAATAGGATTTAGTTTGCAAAACAAGAATAACAGAGCTTGATTAGTTGATTTAAAAAAAAAAAAAAACTCATACATACAAGTTAGCAGTTGCAGAGAGAAGGGGGCAAGCTTGAGAGTTGCGAGACAGCGGCTGAAGCTTGCGAACGGCGAACCCGAACTGGAACAGCGGGCGATGGAAACTGAAAGATATGGGTTTTGATTTTTTGAACAATCTGAAATGATATGCCGATATGGGTTTTCAACTGGTGATTCTTGCAGACAGATAGATAAACTGAAATATATGGGTTTTGAACTTCTGATTCTTGTAGATTTTCCAGTTTGCAGTTGCAGAGAGAGAGAGAGAGGGGGGGGGCAAGTTCTGTGAGAAAGAGAGATGAGGCGATTGGGGAGGCTGAAATGATTTGCCCTAAAAATGTAGGGTTGAACAATTTAAGTATAAAGAGAGCATTTATGAATTTTCACCAACAACAATAAAGACAGAAATTTGTGAATTTTCACCAACAACAATAAAGACAGAAAATTGCCAACAACAATAAAGGGAACGTGACCAGAAATTTATGAATTGTCACCGAGCAATAAATAAATAAAAATAAAATTAGTTATACATTTATCTATTTGTTATTTTGAATTTTCTTACCGAATATTACATAAATGATTCATTAAAAAAAATACAAGTGATAATTCACTGCAATAAATCAATATAAGAATAATTTTTTAATAAATAACAATAAAAATATAGCATGTTATTAGATTTAACATAAAATTATAATACAAATCACATTTGAATCAAGTTCTTGCAAACCATGAACCATACTCAATGCAACTAAATTTTAAATATTATCTGTAATTAGTGCACCTGTCATTTAAAAAAACACATAAGTATCTACTTTGTTTAAAGTTTACAAAATTGTTGGATACAAGCACTACTTTGACCAATTTTATAGCATTTCACCAAGGGTATCGAATCCATTTTTTTTTTTTTTCCCCCATAGCGGCACCAATTCAACTAAATTTTAAATATTATCTGTAATTCAGTGTACCTGTCATTTAAAAAACACATAAGTATTTACTTTGTTTAAAGTTTACAAAATTGTTAGATACAAGCACTACTTTGACCAATTTTATAGCATTTCACCAAGGGTATCGAATCCATTTTTTTTTTTTTTTTTCCCATAGCGGCACCAATTCAACTAAATTTTAAATATTATCTGTAATTCAGTGCACCTGTCATTTAAAAAACACATAAGTACCTACTTTGTTTAAAGTTTACAAAATTGTTGGATACAAGCACTACTTTGACCAATTTTATAGCATTTCACCAAGGGTATCGAATCCATTTTTTTTTTTTTTTTTTTTTTTCCCATAGCGGCACCAACTAATTAATTACACTCGAACCAAATTTGAAACAACAACCTAGAGTTATGCTTTCTCAACCCAATCTTATCAATCAGAATGCACAAACTTTTCCCATACGAGTGTTGCTTTAAACACACATAAATCATACATAAAGGCCCTTATACATGTAGGATGGGAACCTAAAAATCGAACTCGTCTCGGTGGTGTTCGCACAAGCTCATTATGGAAGTTGAAAATTATCCAAAAAGTGCACCCTTGGTTCAATTCCTTCAATTACTATTACGGGACTTTTAATATGTATTAAATTTATAAGACAAAAGTGGACTGTTAATTATTTGTTCTCTCCTAAGTTTTTTTTCTTTTTTTTTTCCTCCTGTTCTCTCCTAAGTTGATTTGTACCCATATATAAACACGTGCATGTGTGTATCTTTTTTTTTAATTATATACGGAGTGTGTATATATATAAATTTAGAACTTTTGGGAACACCACAAACTGGATTTGCTTTTCAAGGTTATTATATACGAAAATTAGTCCTATTTTAACATTCCAGATAAAAAAAAGTCTTAAAAACAGTTTTTTTAGAACAATGAAGTCCTACATTTTATAAAATTTCCAATAATGTTATATAACTAATATAATTCTTCTTTTACCCTTTTCATATCCAATGTATGTTGCTTAATTAATTTTTTCCAAATAATTTTGCTAAAAATTTCATTGAAAACAAATAATTTAAGAGAAAAATATTTTTTTAATAAAGAAAGATGAAGTAAAAAATGCAAAAATAATTAAATTAATTCATAAATGTAACACATGATAAGTAGTTCATTGTATTTTAACTTGTGAATATTTGCAGAAAATTAATTTGAAAAAACAAAAATCACTTGGCTCTAACGCCCCCTAAAAAATGGTTTAGGTTTCGACTTAAAAAAAAAAAAAAAACGTGGTCTGAAAGCATCCAATGGGGCAATGTCTATGATGATGAATGTTATGTCAGATTTCAGTCAAAACAGAAATGGAGAGCATTTATATGATACAGAGAGCATTTATATTTTTTTGCGTGTGGTTCGAGCTAAAATTTTTAGCCAGAGGTAAGTAATGAATAGGATACGGATGAATAATGTCAGATGTTACGTTTACATCACATTGTTCAAGGTAAGAAATTGTATCAATATCATCTTAACTGTTGACGTGGATTAATAAAAATATTTTATTAATTATTAATTTAAAAATAATACAGTATATACTCATTTATCAAATATAAAATAATAAATTAATTATCATATTTAATTTAACAATTAAAATAAAACGTCTTCATTTATTGGTTCGTGATCAGAATTGTCTAAATCATTTTTTAAGAAATGTTAAAAGTTAGATTAGTAGATACAAAGAGTCAAAACATGATAAAATTTACCACCGACACTAACAAACTGGGCTAACAAGGCATCTGATAAATTGTTCAAATCCTCAATGAGAACTAAATATTGTCAAAAAAAAATATTGAGAGAGCAACTAACCTAAAAAATAGAGAAGAGTGACTTTGATGGAAAAATACGGCATCGTATTTATCATTTGTGATATAATCTTTAATTTTTTTTTCGTGAAATTTAGCAATGTTCTTTTTTATTGGAAAATGATAGACATCACGAAATTAGTCATTGATAATTATTTGATGCATTGGAGAGGATGATTGCTTTCTATTTGTTATTGGTCTACGATTAGGATTGTCCAAATTCTCGGTGAGAACTAAATATTGTTAAAGAAAATATTAAGAGAGTAACTAGCTTAAAAAAGAGAAAAGATTAACTTTGTATTTATCATTTGTGATACAATCTTAAATTATTTTTTTTTTTCCTTAAAATTTAGCACTGTTCTTTTTTATGGGAGAATGATAGACATCACGAAATTAGTCAACTATAATTATTTGATGCATTGTAGAAAATGACTACTTTGATGTGATTCAATGTTATGAAAATTTAATGATAAATTACATCATCGATTTATCATTTGTGATACAATCCCCTTTTTTTTTTTTTTTTTTTTTTTTTTTTTTTTTTTTTTTTGTAAAATTCTCTGACAAAAGATTCTCACATCTATGTTGGCTTTTTGAATAAATATATATATGGAAAAAAAAAAAAAAAACCCACACACACACACGCTATTAATTTTCTCACATTTTTTACGCGCTTGCACCAATTTGTGTTACTTGCCCGTTGTAGCCCAGAACCTATTAAGAATTTACTTTTCTCTAACTTCCGTTTCATTTTTCAAGTAATAAAGAGAGAGTTCCATCTCTTTCTTTCTAAAATTAGTTTTCTTTTCTTTTTAGTTTTATTTCTGAAAACTCATATGTAATAATAATAAAGAGAATATCAGAGATTATTTGGTACTCCTATATCTTTTGTAATAAAATTAGATATTAAGATTGTTTGAAGAGAAATGTATTAGTGCATTTTTCATTTTGAAATTATTAAATCGTCTTTCTAAGTTTGAATATGCATGTTACTTGGTTTTGAGATTTTTAAAAATTTTAAAGATAACTATAAAAATATAGTCTCACTTGTTTTGCTTTGATTTTTCAAATGGAACAATTAATATTGAATACAAAATAATTAACTTCAAAAATATATATATATATACAAGCGTTTTCAAGCGTCCCATTATTTAATTTTTATTTTTGCAAAGTAAAAAAGCCCTTTTTCACACGCACAGCACCCTTACACCAATTTGTGTGTGTTATTTGCCAGTTGTAGCGCAGCCCCCTGTTAAACATACAACTAAGCCCTTGCACCAATTTGGAGCCTTTTCACTCCTGCGTTGTCTGTCTCACTGTGCACTGTTTATATATTTCAATCCTTCTCTGACGCAATTCAAAGTTCTGTAAAAATGATTTGGTCAACACCGTTGCAAGACCAATAAAATTCATTGTCTTTATTACGAGGAAGGAATCCGATGTTATATATATATCCTCTATTTGTATCACCCGCGACCCCTTCTCAATATAAAAGTACAAAACTCCCTTCTCTACCCTTGCAACACATATCCTTGTACAAAATCAGTACTACTTTCAATTTTTTATAATAAAATTTTGTTTCTAAAAACTCTAATATTATTATAAAATAATCACATTGGCCCTGTCAATGAAAGTTAAACTTTATTAAATTACTAAATTACCCTTATGATATTTTACTTTATTTAAAAAAACAAAAATCGATATTTTGCAAATTACAAAATTACCCTAAGCCACAAACCTAAATATTACATTATGTATAAAATCATAATTTAGTTCATTTAATTTAAATAAAAAAATCTCGGGCAAATTACACAAACCACCCTCGAGGTTCCATCTCTTGCATTCAGATAAAAGTTGGCGCAATAAATTGGTAAATTACACAAACCGAAAGATATGGGTTTTGAACTTTTGATTCTTGCATATAGATACATAAACTGAAATATATGGGTTTTGATCTTCTGATTCTTGTAAATTTTGTAGTTTGAAGTTGCATATAGAGAGAGAGAGAGAGAGAAGGGGGGGGGGGGGCGGGGGAGTTTAGAGTCGAGAATAGAGGCTGAAATGATTTGCCTAAAAATATTTTATTTTTTGGTGACCCATCATCCATGGGCCTATAAATTTTGAGGCCCCATAAACTTTTAGGTCCTAGGCGACCGCCTTTGTCGCCTTGGGTCAAGACTGCCCTGGACTTATTTGGCTTGGGCCTTATTTTAGTATGGTGGCTGAGTTGACTTGGGTTTGATTGGTTGTGTTAATTCTATTAATAATTTTTTTTTTGCTGGATTAAAATTAGTATAGTAAAAAAAAAAAAAATTGGAGTGGGCTCAAGCCCACCCCTACATCTACCTGACCCAAAATAAATCAATCATAAAGAGAATATGGCTCTTTTGTATATTATTATATTTTAATAAAGAATTAATTATTTTGACAAAAGAACGGTCATTTACCGGGATTGCTCGGCTTTGGTAATTGTGAATGAGTGTGGAGTAGGGGATAATATGAGGAGATCGGAGTGTCCCTATTGCAATAGGCTGTTTTGCTTCCAGTGCAAGCAATCGTGGCATGCAGGCAATGAATGTGAAGATAGTGGTGGTGATTTGGAGCTTAG